GCCAGCAGCCAGTGTGAGCGGCCATTCAGAAGCCGGTGACTGATCTGCCTCTCCAGGGAAGAGCGCAATGATGGTGCCAACTTGGGCCAGTGAAGCAACGTCCTCCAGAACTAGACTGAAGAACAAAACGACAGCAACTTGACTGTTCCCCTTCCCCCAATTCCCCGGCGCTGTTCCCATCCCCTAATTCCCCAATAAAAATCTTAAAAAAAAAAAAAATCAGTGGGAACGGCACAGAGAACACAGCACGCGAAAAAGGAGGCCCCTGCTAACTGTGGTGGGAGAAAACCAAAGGTGGTACAAGAAAAGAAACAGTCATAACCCCTTCTGGTTCTGACATGGCCATTAGGTCCCCACTCACAACCCTGACAGTTGGAGTGACCCAAACTGTGTTCCAACTGTGGGGGTAGGGATGGAGGAAGCAGGGGCATGTGGGGTGCAAGCAGCCAGCCCTCACCCCGTACAGGAAATCTGAGTAACTCGTGACACCCACACACCAAACACAGCAACGTAAGTACATTCTCTAGAAACCTGGATGTAAATACAAACAACTGCTAAAGGACTCACAAGTGGCGAGCAGTTCCAGTTCACTTTTAGATGATATGCACATGTTAACTGGATGAAAAGAAAATTAACTTTAAAATAGTCCTTTCAGTTAAACACACAAACAAAAAAGCCGGCACACAGTCCAGCATCAGTGCACCAATCCAGACCAACCATCTTGGAGAAGAATGAGCAGAGGGGGGACTTCGATGGGGACAGGCGACCCGTGACTTGATTTCCATGAAGTATGCACATGCACCCCCACACGGTTACACACCTATTGCATATAGGTATCAAGAAATATACCTTTCTTAGTTGCAGCAATAATTCTGGGATTCAGGTCCAGTTGGTCCAGATCCATTTCTTCAGCGCGCTGACCACAAAGATGAGCAACTTCCCAGGGACACGGATTCTGACGCATTTGCTGTCAACTCAGCGAGTGTGGCAGTGACAGCAGCCCTTTGTGCCTGGTTCCCCAGCAGCCCAGAGGTGGGAGGACAGACGTCACGTGCCAGGAGTGCCACTGAGGTGTGAGACAGCACTCCTGTTGAGCGGCCCTTCGGTAACTCAGAAATCCACACACTGACGCGCTCCGAGACCCCCCACCCCACCTACTGTGCGCTGGTTCCCAGAGCACATGGCTGTCCCATGTCGTGCCCTGCAGAGAAGTGAACACAGCTCCAGCCCCGAGTCCTGGCCCTGCCCCGACCCACCTATCCTGGACGAGGATGCTTACAAGTTGGAAATCCACATGTATTGGGTTTACTCAGATGACGTGTTCTTTGCATTCTCGTTTAATTTTCCTTAAATTGTCTCCATGGGATTCTGGAAAGAGTGGAAAAAGTGAGTTTGGAATCTTGCAGGATGCCGAGAGGGTCAGAGCCTCCATGACCACCAAGCTGTCTCAGCAGAGAACAGCGCAGCCTGTGTCCAGGCAGGCCTGGCCCTCACCAGGTCATGTGGGTAGCCCCCTCCAGGGGCCTGAGCACTAAGTGCAGCAGGTGACTGGAGCCCATCATGCTGGCTGCGCAAACTCAGCCCAGGGTCACCCAAGCGCTCTCCTGCAAGCCACTCTGTAATCCCCTCACAGCCTCCCTAAATGGCAGGACATGCAAGGACACCAAGACCAGCAGCCACTCAGGCTGAATCCAGGGTCACTGTCCACCAGCAAGGCTCAGTGCTCCTGCTGACTTGCGACGTCCCAATATCTCGGCTGAGGGGAGGTACACAATTGAGGGCTGTCCCTTGCGATGCTGAGAATGCTGTGTGGACTTGGACAACATTAGGCTATTTTGAAGCCTCAAGAACCAGGTCTCCTGCACCCTCGCAGGGTCTGGCCTGGCACCGGCGAGGGTCGTGACGCCAAGAACCTACAGGGCCCATTCGTCCAGACAGCGTGGGAGGCAGCTGCTGGGGGCAGGAGAGAGCTGGTGACTGGCCGCCCTGACCCCGCCCTGTCGCCACCTCTAAAATACCTCAACTTCACAGGGTCCTGGTTCGCCTCTCATCCCACGGCCCCTGAACTGCCGCTATGGACCAAACTGGCACTACAGCTGAGTGGCCTCCTCTAAACCCTGCGGGGTGAGCCCCGAGGACCAACCTTCTCACCCCGCTCACGAGTCCGGGCTGCACTGGCGCCAGCTTCCTTCCCACTGCCAGGACCTCGCTAGGACCTTTGCCCCGGCCGTCCCTGTGCCCGCCGGCCAGGGGATCGGGGGCTGGGGGCATCGGTGACCCGCGGCCCCGCTGTCCCCCCCAGGGGGACCCCACTTGCCCTCGCCCAGCTTCCACCGTGCCCAAGGCCACCCCAGTCTCCAACCCTCCCCCACCCTCCACTCCCCGCTCCCCATGTTCCCTCGCCCCGATCCAGGCCGCGCCAAACCGCCGCCGCTCCCACCTCGCGCGCGCTTCATCATTCACGCCGTCCCGCCCCTCGAAACCTCCTCTTCCAATCAGTGCTAGGCGCCCCGCGCCCGAATACGCCAATCAGAGAGGAAGTCACGTCTACGTCGCGGACTAATTGGCCAATCCAAAGTCTCACTCTCCTCGAGAGGGGCGGAGCGTGCCGGGACCCGCCCTCACTGCCGATTGGTAATTGCCCTCAGTGTGGCAGGGGTGGTGCCCTTGAGCCGATTGGAGAGCACAGCAACTGGGCGGAGCCCTAGCGCCTATTGGCTCGCGCTCCTGGCCGGGCTTGGCGATTGGGTGCGAGCGCTGTCAGTCGCACGAGCGGGGCGGGGCTTTTTGGAGGGGCGAGGGCCCGTGTGAGGGCGGCTGGCGATCGCTGAGGCGGCGTAATGTCCTCCGAGGTGGCCGCACGCAGCGATGCCAAGAAGCTGGTGCGCTCCCCCAGCGGTCTGCGCATGGTGCCTGAGCACCGCGCCTTCGGCAGCCCGTTTGGCCTGGAGGAACCGCAGTGGGTCCCGGACAAGGAGGTAAGTCGTGGCCGCCCGCAAGCCCTGCGTCCACGCCCCGCGACCCCGTCGGCGCCCAGCGCCCCTCCCGTCCGCGCCCCGGGACCCGAGCCCCCAGCCCATGCCCGGAACCTCCGTCCGCGCCCCATGGCCCCTGTCCGCGCCCCGGCCCCCCCCTGTCTCTCGGACGCCCCTCCCCAGCCCGACCCACCCTCTGCTCTCTGCTGGCCTCCTGTGGCCCCTGCCGCCCTCCCCGGATCCCCTCAGGGCCTTCCTCGCGCACCTCTGCTCCGCTCCCCTGGCCTCCTGCTGCCCGCGCTCGGCCCCTCCCGGGGCCTTGGGCACTCTGCCTGGCTCCCTCTCTCGGGGCTCCGGGTGTCCCCCATCTCCCCGCCTCTAAGTTTCTGTGCCCTTCGCACAGACTTCCCTTCCTGCGGTGCCCCGGGCTTTGCCCACTGGGAGGTTACTTGTGAATTCCACGATGTTAGCTGGTTGAGCTGCTGGGGTGTTTTGTTTGTTTGTTTGTTGATTGATTGATTGATTGATTGATTGATTGTACAGCCTTCTCTGCGGGGGTTCTCCGAGTGTGTGGACTGTGGCGGTGGGTGGCTGGTGTTTGCGCGGAGTTGGGTTGGCGTCGGAGTCTCCAGGTGAAGAGCAGGGGCGCGCGCGTTCCACTTGGGGAGCTGCACCAGCGCCGAGCGGCAGGAGCAGCTGAGGCTGCGAGAAGCGAGGGCTGGGGAGGCCTTGAGCTGCCCTTTTGGCGGGGTGGGCGCGGCACCTTCCGAAGGCCCTTTTGTGCCCTGCCAGGGAGCTGGGACTCCATCCCGTAAGTCAGTCATTCTCAGAGCGCGAAGCTAGGCGGAAAGACTTCATGCATTCCTGTAAATCGGAGATGGCTGAAAGACATCAAAGTGCCTGAGTTTTTGAAATTAAATGAATTGGGTTAACGTTAATAACATGGTGTAAGTTTCAGGTGTACAACTTTTTAATATGACGTGTGTGTGCTCACCGCGGGAAACCTCGGCTCCTTCCCTCACCATGTATGTGACCCCGCTACCCCCTCGGCCCTCCCCCACCCCCTTCCCCTCAGCTAAGCGCCATTCTGTTGTCTATGTCTGTGAGTTTGTGTGTTTGTTTTGTTTGGTCCCTGTTGTTTCGTATCCCACATTAGTGTGAACCCATCAAAGTGCTGTGATTTTTTTTTTTTAAAGTCCTTTAACTTAACCACCCACTTGGCATTTGTTCAACTGCTTTTCTTCTCCTGAGAATCACTGTTACAGGTGGCAGGTTTTCAGCGGAGGAGTGAAATCAGGTGTTTTTAATGCAGTGGTCCGAGAAGTGCCTGCAGCTGGGGGCAGGGCAGCCGGGAGGAGGATACAGCTGCCCAGCTCTGCCCCTTGCTCCCCTTCGGATGCCAGCCCTGGCCCTCTGCCTGTAGATGGCCGCTGCCTCTGAGTTGAGAGAGGCCAGCGCGCAGGGAGGTGGGAGTCGCAGCTGTTGGGGCGTGGGTGTCACTGAGCAGGCCGGTCACGGGCCTCCTTGGGTTTCTTGTCCCCCTGTTTACGCTCTTTTCTGCATTTCTGCCCTTGGCGCTTGTACTCTTTGAACTCACAGGCTGTACCTTTCCTCACATCCCCTCCCTGGTTAGTGCTGTTAAGATAACCAAAGAGGAAAAAGGCAATAGCGTGACTGGTCCTCATAAATGATCCTCATAAATGAATACGTGTCACAGTTCCCTTAACTGTTGCAATGAGGGAGCTGGGAGATGTTATCAGGGTCAAGGAGAAGTCAGAAGAGCTCAAAATGATATGGAAGGAGGTTAGTGAATGTGAAGATAGAGGCCAGTTGGTCTCTTCCATCATGGGGGAGGGGACCCCATGACCTTGGGGTTGACGTGGGGGGAACAGACTGCATGTCTGCAGCTACCTGTAGCTGACCCAGAAGTCACCTGGAGGCCGTCCTGCTGGCCAGCGTGTTGCAGCATTTTTCCATTCTTACCTCCTGAGGAGCCTCTCCAGACACTTTTTCTCCATTTGATCCTCCCATGATATTTTCACAGCCAGGTGTGCTGTGTAGCTGTGCGGGCCTGTACGCATGTTCGTGAGCGTGCATGTTCGTGAGCGTGCATGTTCGTGAGTGTGCGTCGTCTGGACGGCAGCGTGCAGCCCCCCTGCAGTTTGTGTTTTGACTGCTTTTCAGTTAAGCTCACGCTCTCTGCCATTCCCTTACTCAGCCCTTTGGGTGTTTCCTAAAAGAATTGTTGTGTTTTCCCTGCATGCGTTGCCTTTCTTGGCTGGCTTTTTGTTGTGGAATTCAGCGCTGAGGTGTGTCCTGAGCCCAGGCTGTCTTGAGAACTCTTGCGAAATTCTGATAAAAGTTGGGTCGAAATGCTTGAATCTGTGGCACACCCCCCCTTAACGGAAGTTTCATTCCAGTGTTGGCAGGGTGTCCCTCCAGAACCCCTGGCCCCGTTGGTTAGAGCTATGATTAACTGGGACCTAGCAGCCCAGGGAGCTTGGAGGAAGGGAGGAGCCCTGGTGAGGGTGGAGGACTTCTCTGGGTTTGAGCAAGTATACTTTAAAATGTCCTGGGGCCTGGTCCTCGAGTCCAAAAATAACCAGAGAGTTCTGGAGGGAAAGAAACTTGGAATGGGGCAGTTTGGGCAGGAGATCGGAATAAAGTCTGACCTTCATTAGCCAGCTCGCGGGGAGGGTGTGGCACACGTACTGTGGGACTCGCCGGGTGCTTGGCAGTGCCCACCTGGACACAGCTGCCCTCTGCTGTTCAGTGTTCCTGGGACGCCAGGATCACTGTGTGCAGGGAGGTGACTCAAGCATGGACGTACCCGGTTGTGAGAAATAGGTTTATTTGTGGTGCCTTGGAATGGGAGGGGCGAATTGGGTAGAACATGGCAGGGGAGTGACATAGCATCCTGAGCTTCTGCCCACTGTCCCCCCACTTCTTGGCCGTGAAGATTAGGGTCAGTCCTGTCAGTACACAGTCCTCCATTAGTCATCTGGCTCTGCCTTCCACTGGGTCAGAAGCCAGCGCATTCCACATCTGTTGAGTACTTAAGAGGTGCCTGACCCTGTGCCAGGTTATTAACTTGGGCCCATGGGGACACCACTTAAAAGTGTTGGAAAATTTGGGGGACGGTGTGTGCATGCGTCTAGCTTTCAGCTTCTCAGGGGTTTCCCCCCAGAAGTAACTGAGGATCGCTCCTCTAGTGTGAACCGAGAGGGTTATGCAGTCTCTGCCCCCAGGAGCTTGTGGGGCCGGGAGGCAGGTGGGATTTGGGGGCTCGATGGAAGCCTAGGAGTGACCTCGGGGGCTTGACAGACTGCCATCAAAGTGACGAAGGCAAAGGAGAGTGGGCTTGGAGCTGTGCCTAAGGACTGGTCACAAGCAACCAAAGTACTGAGTCTTATCCTTGCATCCCATGTGGCTTTGCACCCCCCTCTTCCCATCTTCAACACTGGCTCTAACCAGTGATGGACAGTGCAGTGCTGTCGCTTTGACCCTGGGACACTCCATAGGTGCAGAGCTGGAGAGAAGAGAGCACAGGTGTGTCAAATAAAAAGGAAGTCGGGACCTAGGTGAGGATGTCATTCCACAGGGTCATTGCACGGGGAGGGGCGGGTGCACTGCTCAGGAGGGAGGGGGCCGCAACCCGAGATCTCCAAGCCTGCGTGGTCAGGTAGAGAGGGGCTCTCCTGGGACAAGGGACCCGGACTTGAGGAGAATGGGCTGGGGGATGAGCAGGTGGAGGTGGAAGTGGGGGTTCAGGCAGAAGTGGGGGTGCTGGTGGTGTGACCTGACAGCGGATCAGAGGTGCACCCCGTCAGTGTGACCTGACAGATCAGGGGTGTACCCCACCCACAGTGTGACCTGACAGATCAGGGGTACTCCCCTCACCACAGTGTGACCTGACAGCAGATCAGGGGTGCACCCCCCAGTGTGACCTGACAGATCAGGGGTGGATCCCCCCCCAGTGTGACCTGACAGATCAGGGGTGCATCCCCCCCCAGTGTGACCTGACAGATCAGGGGTACATCCCCCCCCAGTGTGACCTGACAGATCAGGGGTGTACCCCACCCACAGTGTGAACTGACAGATCAGGGGTACACCCCTCACCACAGTGTGACCTGACAGCAGATCAGGGGTGCATCCCCCCCAGTGTGACCTGACAGATCAGGGGTANGGGGGTTGTGGTGTGTGTCAGAGCTGTAGGGCGGCCAAGTCACTCGGCTCTTCTGTGCCTGTTTCCCGAGAGCAAGGACAGTAACAGGACCCGTCTCCCAGGATTCATGACTTAGGACCATGCCTGGCCCAAAGGGTGCAGGGGCCACAGCTGCGCCCACATAGAACATTTACTTGTCCAAGGCCTACCCCATGCCAGGTAGCATGGGAGGCACTGGGCAGAGGAGAAAGACACAC